TAGGGCAATGATGCAGCGTAGACTTTAGACTGGTAAAAGATTAAAAAAAAAAAGAAATGATGAGACTGGGACTCGAACCCAGGAGGATTGCTCCACCAGGAAACTATTGTTAAGATAACCTTAACCTGGCGCCATAACCAACTCGGCCATCTCACCAGCGACGCTATTGTTGCAACGGTGGAATTTATTTGCAAATATGAATGTTTGAGTATTTGTTTTTCTCTCCACCATCAACAGCGTGCTGTAACAAAGTCTTACAACACATATTTGCAATTTAGCAACCCAAAGCACACACCCACCCACCCACCGACGTATACTGGTGTCTGACACACACGCAGCAACGTAAAAGTCAATTCAATACGTAGAAAATAGATAGCGCCCGATTCAGCTCGTAGGGACCCTCTGGGTGCCAAGGTCAAGTGGTCCTGCTATTCGCTTTGGGAATACGGCACCCTCCTTGACACTCGATTTGTCCACTTCACACAACATGGCATCAATATTTTTGACGACAATGGAGTTACCCTTATATGCGCGAAAAAGAAAATAAAGCAACAGTACTGGTCACAGATATACCAACGTATGACAACGGACGTAAGTTATTGCAGTTATGGAGCAAAGTGACGGGTATCTTGGACCAGCGAAATACATCGTTTGCGCCAACTATTGCCCCTGCAGTTGCGCAGCCCATGGTCCAGCTCTCTCTTGTCAGAGCTCGTCCAATACCAAGCAAATTATCCAGTGCAAATGAACCGCCATATCATTCACCTGCAGTCGGCGATGTGCTAGGTTGCTCAATGAATACATAAATTGTTATTTCCCTCGAGGCGGTCAGTTCTGTACTGGCAACACAACAGACTGACCATCAGGCACTGGAGATAAAGATGGATTTCTAGATAAGTTGTTCCCTACATAAACCTCAAGGACGATCTATCGCTTTCCAAAATACCCTTTGGGTGAATACAAACACGCTAATGAAGAACATATTACTTAGGTTCTTAAACTTGCCGTTGTAATCATGTCGCTGTCCGTCTGAAACTTCTCTCCATCCTACTAGCAGACTCAACGATGCCCCATTGATGACCTTTGACCAATTAAGCGTATGTTTGCTTCAAACGCAAAAAACATTAAAAGCTATTATATTCGACGGCTACTGTATTACATCTCCTGAAGTCAGAGGCGCGTTGACGCTAGCTAATGTTCCTATGCTGTTAAGAGCTTGCTGTTTGGTTGTTTAGGGCTGTTGTTTGGTTGACAATAGCTTTTGTTTGACCGTCGAGGCTTAAACTATGTTTATGCAGAGCCGTCACGACTTTATCTATAGTGCCTTCTATAGAGTGTGTCGATACATCATCTGCCGTTCGTAGCGTGGAAGTCTGAGATTCTTTTGCTCGGGTATGCTTATCGACGACCTCATCAAGTTTGTTCATGATGTGGGTCGTACCGTCTGACCGATTAGATACCATGACACTAATACCCCTCTGAACGGATCTTGCTCTCTGAGTTGCAGGAGCTGCTGTAGAATGGATTAGGCTTAGTTGACTAGATCTAATGGGATTGAACGGTTGAAGGTTTGTCTCCTTACACGATGCTCGCCGGATGTCGACGCTACCCATTAGATTTGGCTGGACCTGATAACAGCCAGTGTTGGGCATGTTCATCAGAAATTCTTCACGTCCGATACACATTTGCCTGTAAACCGGACTGCACGTCAACGTTTGGAGTGACCAGATTGCTCTAGCAAGAGCTAATAATGCCAATATATTGATCTCAGTCTGTCCTTTTTCTTCAAGGTGTGCCGTGAGGATATGTTGAGATGGATACCATATTTTCGGAATATAGAAATAGTCCTTCATGAATGTGGGTTGGTTGAATACCTCCCGCACCTGCTGAGGCAGATTTGGCCAGATGTATTGCCCAATGTATTTTCCGAGATACCGTATTTTTTTTATCACCGCAAACCGAAGCCAAAAGGGAGACGTCAAAATGGGCATGGTCTAGAGATGGCGCTGGCACATTTGGCGCGGAAGGTGCTAATTCTTCCGACATTGTAATGACCGTCAATTCGTCTTTGATTGGCTGTACCGCACCAATACGGTGAGTTAATGAGGAATTAGTAAAAAGACTCTTCCAGAACAAGAAAATAGTTAAAAAAACATATGGAGGGTATGAAGAGGAGAATCAAGTGGAAAAAAAAAAGCTGGGATTCGTGTTTGTTTGTTTACACATTTTTCAACATCTGTTTGGAAGCTGCAACAGGGCCAATGTTCTGTGCTGCGACTGCCTTTTCATGATACTATGTAGCTGCCAGCTACGCCCGATTATTCAGTCCGATGAGGGTGGAGAGCTATATTCGTGAGCTATTTAATATGAGAAAGCATTCCGCGAAAGTAGATAGGATTCGCTGCGGTGCTATCTGCCATTCGTTGTTTACGTTTTCCACAAGCAGCCTCGAAAATTCCCTCCAGAGCAGCTGCCCATCGCCATTTGTATTAGCGACCATTATTGTATATTATATCAGACGATACTATTTAAGCCCATTTAAATAAATCAGTTATTAGTGGTGTTCTTTCATCTGGCGAACCAGGTTATGCGATGCTCCAAGACGCATTCGCGCTGACTATTGTACCGAGAGTAATCGATCTCTTCTCCGGTATCTTTGACGTGCCTTATCCGCTAGACAAGATGGACCTTATAGTCGTGCCGGATATGTCCATGAATAGTATGGAGCATTGAGGCATGGTCACCCCGCAGCTATATGTTGTATTCTTAATACCCGTCTAGCACTATTCCTTCTCTGCAACAGTCAAACAGCTTCTGTTCGACGAAAAGACGTCCAAAGAGGCTGTGAAACTAGGCATCATGGATAATGTTTCCCACGACCTTGCACAACATGGTTCGGTAACCTTGTCACCATGGGTTGAGGGGATGAGCTCTGGCCGAACGAAAGCTTCGCGACTTGGTTCGGCCATAACGCCATCGACCACTGTTTTTCCTGAAGAAAATATCTGGACGCAGTTCACGGTAGGCTGCATGGAGGATGTGCTTCGGGTAGACACGGTCCAGTCATGCTGTGTATATTCCCGCGAGCAGCGATTTGCAGGATCACAAAAGTTTTGACGAAATCAGCTATAGCAAAGGTTGCGCCGTTATAAGAATGTTATTGGAGTATGTAGACGTGGACATGTTTTAAAGGGCGTCTCCAGTTACTTCATAGGCAACGCATATAGCACCACCACTGCTCGCGCCCTCTGGGACAGTCTTGACGGCTTCCGGCGAGAGCATCGTTAGCATGGCCGAATCTTGGATCAACAGTGATGACTATCCAGCGGTAACAGTGACAGAAAGCACTAATAAGAGTGAAATTTCTGTGCGACAGTCTCGCTTCTTAACCAGCGGCGATATCAAGGCAGCAGAGGATACTGCTCTTTGGCGCATCCCTCTCAGTATAACAGGTTTCGAGGGCGGTCAAGCAACAATCTATCTCTGGTATTGGCAAAGACTCTACAAGTTCAACGCCCAACGTACGGGATTCTACAGAGCAGCTTACCCACTGTCTCGGCTTGCCAAGCTAAGCACGCAACTCCAGCGCCATAATACCTCACACAGAATCTCTATCATCGGATCAGCTGCTGCCCTACGTCTGCAGGATCCAGCTCCGTAGCATCTTTAATGTCCTTTCAGCGAGGTTTCCATCGGGGAAATAAACCCTTCTTGTGAGATCAAATTCATAATATTCTTCACAATGTAGATATGGCCTTTTCGGAGGATGTACAGACCAGAGCCGGGCTGAAGCGCTTCACGTTGCAGCTTGCTGAGGGCAAAGTGAATGATGTAGGTGTAGAGGCACTCCCAGAGAATGATTTTTGAGATGAGGCCTTCGTCGGGAACTACTCACCAAGGCTGTTAAGTGCGGATATTACAAGTAAGCTGATTACGTTGATGCTATGACAATCCATTTGTACTAACAAATTGCATAGGCGTGAACAAATTCGCGTCAATGATCAATGACTGGACGCAAATTGGCATTCATATTGACGCAAGCATGTGCCGTATCTCTTTTCGCGCCGCAATGCAAGCAGACCCAGCCCATACGTCGGTCATTCTTGTGTCTGAGCTCGCAGAAGCATCACCCAGCGAGAACAGCAACGTTTTCCCCCTCGTTCTCACAGGCAGACAGCGAGTCAATCCTGCGCGAACTGCTGGCCCTCAACTGGTCCGCATCTGTCCTAGAGACTGAAATGTCTGTGGTCCTCAACCCGGCCTACCACCCCATCGGCCGGCCATGCGTGGTGGGCGTACACCAAGAATCACTGGGATGCGTGCGTGGCCAAGGTGAACGATCCTCTCCTCTTTCTTTTGCAGGTGAGCATGCTTGGTTTTAGCAGCAAGGGTATTATCGCGGATATGGATGCGTTTTTTGCAGACAAAGGCTTTGAGCCGTAGTTGACGATAGGGAAGGAGGAAATTTGGGCAAGGTCTTTGTACAGAGAGAGGGACTTGGCACTACTCAAGCAATGCCGGTGGAGGACAAGTTCTTGCGACAGAAACGTGGAATTCGAAAGCTCGAGAGCCTGCCTCAGACAGCTAATCATTACCGTAAATTTAAATATGCGTACATATATACAGAAAAAACTAAAGAAATTAGAAGAGAAAAAATGAGCCTGACGACTACTTTGTGATGAATAAATGCACTTGGGAATCAAGCGAAACCGTCACCACAAAAGTACCTGATATGGAGCGCGCCATGCATCGAAAGCCAACGAGGGCTAGAAACGACCAGTATGCTGAAAAAACTATACCGAACTCAGAGGATGAATGTTCCCAAAGCAGCATATAATACAATAAGTGCAAGAAGAAAACATTCCCGGAGGGAAAACCAAGCTGTCACGTTGAAAACACAATCAATGGTGGTAGGTGGTCCCTTCGTAGCTACCTAGGTTCGACTTGCCTAGTGAAGGTATATCAAGTATAATAAATCAATAACTACCAGCAATACCACTGGTGAGATGGCCGAGTTGGTTATGGCGCCAGGTTAAGGTTATCTTAACAATAGTTTCCTGGTGGAGCAATCCTCCTGGGTTCGAGTCCCAGTCTCATCATGATAGTGCATCTTTTTTTGGCATTATTTCCTCGGATTTCTTTTTGCCGAATCAGGTCGAGTGAGCACTTTTCAATTTTTTTGTGCGCCTCAAGCCAGGTACTGGTTTCCATCACTGCTGAAGAACCGGCAGCATTGCCGCAGCGTGTAGTATATGTATGATACTCCCTCCGTACATGCGCAACACTAGATGATAGGAAATCTCCAGATAATTTCTCCGGGCTACAGATGCACAGTCATTCCTGTCCACTTCGCCGCTTTTAACTAGTCAGCGTTTGCTTGTTTTTAGTAGCGCCTAAATCACATCATGCCAGCCACTGATCAGCTCGGCGAGCCATGAACAGTAACTGCGACACTCCGCGAGCCCCAAATGCGGAACCTCCGCCCATACCCACATGCGCGCCCTCCACGATGAGCATGGGGATGCGGCACAGCAGGTTGATCTTGTAAAACTTGATGTGCCGATTTGCAAACTACCAATCATGAGGCTTGCATGCAGTGCTCCGTAGACATCGCGTCATTTTATTGGGACCCCAGTGTCAACTATGCGGTACTCTGTTTCGCGGGGCGCGAGGGGACTAAGCTCTAGTACAGTGACGGTCACCGACTGGAAACTCGGTCCGAAATACCGGACAGCTCAACTACCGCAGTTGAACTGTTGGAGCTTCCCGTACTCCCACTGATCTCTGCACCCAAGCTTCCAACGGGCGAAGGATGAACTAGAACACGCCGGTATGTCCCTAATGATCTACCAAGATCTGCACTTGACTCACACGGGATGTTCTCGTCATTACAAACCACCTTCCGACTATCCTGTAGTTTGTGATTCTCCGACCATCCTGCAAAGCGACCCATGTGGAGTTTCCTTCTTCATAATAAGAGGTTGTTGATAACTCTTGGTCAGCTTGTTTAAGTATTGACCGTTTTCCTCAAACCTCACACCGAATTAACATCATCAATAAAGGCGTTCACTACTAAGCGCGGTTCATTGTATACTTCCCTCTTCAAATAAACATGTCCGCAACCACGACCATCGCTCCGGCTATCGAGCTTGACCGCATGCCCATAGAACCAGCACCAATTAAATCAGATGACAAAGAACCGCAACGCGTCTTCAGACCCGATGTGTCTTCCACGTCAGCATCTCTTTTGGGGGAAAACGGCGGTACTGAGCCCTGCCAGACCCCTGCAATCACGGTGACGGAAAGGTGGAATGAGTCGCCCAAGAATATGTTTCGTCTTGCGGCGGCCTTCTTCTGCTTTTTAGTGATGGGGGCCAATGATTCTGCCTACGGTGTAAGTTCTTGCGCCTTCGTTGTGGCTGTACGACTATTTACTAACGAAGACCAATTTGTAGCCCCTTATTCCCTACGTATGTGCCTAGATGCCATGCATTACCGTTACCACGTGCTAATGATACCGAAACAGCTCGAAAACTATTACGACCTTTCTTACGTCGTCGTCTCACTTGTATTTCTGTCCCCCTTTATCGGCTACGTTTCCTCTGCCATCCTCAACAACTACCTCCACCATAAACTCGGCCAACGAGGTGTCGCCATTATCTGCGGAGCATCCCACACCACAGCATACATCATCATTGCGCTACATCCACCGTACGTTGGTCTCGTATTCGCCTTCATTCTGGCTGGTTTTGGGAATGGTGTTGCGGATGCTGCGTGGAATGCGTGGGTCGGCAATCTCGCCAACTCGAGTGAGCTGCTGGGATTTTTGCATGCCTTTTATGGCGTTGGCGGCGTGGTTAGCCCGTTGATTGCTACGACGCTTATTGCAAAGGCGAACTTGCAGTGGTATTCGTTTTATTACATCATGGTGAGCTATCCCCCAAGCCTCTTGCGAAGAAGGTAATGTGCTGACTTGCCGTTGAGATTGGACTCGCTGCTGTTGAAACGATTTTGCTCGGATTGGCTTTTTGGGAATCCTCGGGCGCTGTATACCAACGGATTTACAAGACTAATGAACTGGAGAAAGAAACGGGCTTGAATGACGCTCTCTTCAAGATGCCCTCTGCTCGGGTTTCGTGGACAGCAGCCATGTTTCTTCTCTGTTATGTGGGAGTAGAAGTCGCCCTTGGCGGATGGATCGTCGTTTTCATGTTGCGAGTTCGACATGGTGAACCATTCGCCAGTGGTATGTCCGCTGTTGGTTTCTGGCTCGGAATTACCATTGGCCGCGCTATCCTTGGATTTGTCACGCCCCGTCTAGGAGTGAAGCTGTCCACTGCTGTGAGTAGCTATCGGCGATTAATGTAATTAACTACGTGGACTTTTCGTCTGATGCATTTTATAGGTCTATATCGGAGCAGCGGCCGCTCTGGAGCTCATCTTCTGGCTCGTTCCCCAGTTCTATGTCTCGGCTGTTGCTGTTGCGTTTCAGGGCTTCTTCCTGGGACCGCTGTTCCCCAATGCAGTCTTGATCGCAAGCAAGCTGCTACCCCGTCAACACCACGTGGTTGTGATTGGCTTTGCCGCTGCGTTTGGAGGCTGCGGTGCAGCCATTCTCCCATTTTTGACCGGAATTTTGGCACAGGCGCAGGGTCCCCAGGTCTTGCAGCCGATTGTGCTGTCGTTGTTGGTTGTTATGCTTGGAATTTGGTGCTGTTTGCCTCGGGTTGGAAAGAAGAAGGAGTAAAAACCAGCGAGGGAGAACAAGGGGCTCATTGAGTGGTAGATGTAGTTCTACTTGGACTTTGGCTTTCGTTTGTTGTTTCGAAGTGCATAAGATGATATTGCGCTGCTGTTCCGTTCTATTAGGCTGATATTGCTTTTTGCAAACAAACACATCATGTTAAATAATGGTATTTTGGGAAATCGTGCAATGGACGTACTGGGATGTTTCAATTCTATAAGTTGACCGGAAATTCTGACACATGATTCTAATGCACTGCTGTTCACCGTCACTTATGAATAATTACAAATCAGGGACAGGATCAACTGTCTTGACAACTCTCGCCGGCGTCCCCATCGCTACCGAGAAGTCCGCAATCGACCTCGTTACGATGGAGCCACTCCCAATCGTGCACCCCTTCCCAATCTTCACGCCAGGCATGATGGTGGTATTGCCACCAATCCAGCAATCGTTTCCAATCTCCACGGAGCTGGCATACTCGACACCGTCACGACGCGACTGCACGCCCGTCTCATGAGTAGCGGCAAAGATGGAGACAAAGGGGCCGAACATGACGCGGTCTCCAATCTTGACCAAACCACAGTCTAGAATAACGAGACTTGTCTCTAGAGTCAGACTATGCTTCGCTTTGCATGAGAGTTCTACTTACTTGAAGTTGGAGTAGAAGTTATCGCCGACGGAAATGTTGCACCCATAGTCGATGTTGAGAGGGGGTTCGATGTATGCCCCGGTGCCGACTTTGCCAAACAGCTGCTTCAGTATGCCTTCTCGGTCTGCTACAAGAGAATCTGGCGTGGCGTCGTCTGGGAAATGGCTGTTGTATTTGTGCATGATGCGCCGCGCTCGGAAGCGGCCGTCTACGAGCTCTTTCACCAGCGGGTCATATCTGGGATTCCGTGAGTGTGAGGATTATTTGGAGAGATGACAGAGAAAAAGTACAATTGACCGGATATCATCTTCTCATACTGCTCGCACCACGGGGTATTGGAGAGCGTCCGTGCAAAGGCAATGACTTCTGGATTCTTTTCTGAACTGGCCATATTGGAATTTGCAATGGGTGTTCCTTGGGGGCTTCTATCGATGATAGCACTGAGAAAGAGGAGATATTGTTCGAGAAGGCGTTGAGAAATGGGAGCGTTGCAACGTTTGACGATGAATACGAAGGGATCGTGAGCCCGAATTTGTGTCCGCACTCCGGCCTCGCAGCTTCCCCATGCCACTTCGCTTGGACTGCCCGCCAGTCCCCGTTAGCGCGTCTATGAGGGGAAACCGAGCCAAGCCTGGGATGTCGTGCGGAGACTAGCAGTGGCTGAATTTAGCGGAGCGTTGCCCCCAAGACTCGCCGGACCGACTACTTCTGCCCTGGAGCGAGTTTCTGCCGGTGGCCTGGTCCTGGTAAATGCCCCGTAGATGGGTCGCCTGACACTCACAGCATTGCCAAGGCATAGTGGGACTTTGGAGGACAGACGGGTGTGCGCTGCTGTCTGAGCTGTCTTTCCGAGGCCAAACACCATGACTTGTCATGCCTCAAACTTTGATTGGCCGGAGCAATGGCCTCTAGGTGCAACTATCGTAGGATGTATTCAGACCTATCTACTGGATACCGTCTGCTTTAACACCGGCTTCCGTGGATTATTGAAAGACAATGGACAGACAACACTGTAGATTCGACATGTGCGGCTTCTCTCATTATCCTTCATAATGTCGTCTCGTTATTCAGCCGTTCATGACTTGGCAAGTTCAACAACCCGCTTAGCAGCTTGGCCAAAGTCGGACTCAACGACCAATCCAAGATCTGCTTCCTCGAGCTATTTTCGCCATTTGTTAACACTGTTATTTGATACCGAGACGCTGCGTACCCGAAACATACCATCTTCAATCCCTTTTCAGAGTTTGTGCCCTGCAGTCTAACCACCATAGGCACCTTGATATCCAGGTCAGAGGTCGCACCAATAATTGACTCCGCAATCATGTCGCATCGCGTCAGACCTGCTGCACGTTAGTTGTATGTACGACGTACCGACTGCTTTATGGCACATACCGCCGTAAATGTTGACCAGGATGGCCTTGACTCTCTCGTCGCCCGTAATGATGCGAAATGCCTGTATCATAGTATCCTTTGTGGCCTTGCCACCAGCGTCAAGGAAGTTGGCGCTTGCACCACCATGAAAACCAATGGCATCGTTGGTTGCCATTGCCAGGCCGGCGCCATTCACCACATTGCCAATGTCGCCGTCCATTCTAACGTAGACGAGGCCGTGCTTCTCAGCTTCCACTTCATCCTGGATCTCCTGGGTCTTGTCGCGCAGGGCAAACAGTTCCTTTTGTCTTGCCGCAGCGGCATTATCGAATGTG